AAGAGGCTAAGCAGGGAAGCTAAGGGAGAGGAGGAGGAGGAGAGGAGAAAAGTGCGACCGCCTTCGTCAAGAGCAAGAGCAGAAAATGGATAATAATAATAATGGATTGCATTTATATAGCGCTTTTCTAGGCACCCAAAGCGCTCTACAATTCCACTATTCATTCTCTCTCACATTCACACACTAGTGGAGGCAAGCTACAGTTGTAGCCACAGCTGCCCTGGGGCAGACTTGTCATGGTCCGGGTGTGTGCCAGGGTGTCTCCCTCCGAGTCGGTATCTCCACCCCTGGGAGGGGCCTCAGTATTCTGCTGATTGCTCACACCTGTGGGTAATTAAGCCGGGGACTCATAAGGCCAGCGCACTCAACCTCTCTTTGCCAGATTCTCAGCTAACCCTAGTTAGTGCAGGCCACCACTGTGATTTCGCACACGCTTTGTAAACTACCTTGACTCATTGTGTGTTTCTCTGACAGCCACGCACCAAGTTGCCAGACACAAATCTCCGCCAAAGAGCTCCAATCCGGACGCTGGACCACCTGACAGTCCCACGGGCTGTTCACCCGACTCACCTGCCTGCCTCCCTGCCTCAACACCAGGAATTTCAGACCACTCACCCGGACCACCCACCCCTCCACGCCACTACAGACCACCCGCGGCAAGTACGCAGTGCTAAGGAAAATTCAGAACGAACAGCTTGCCCATATTCCTCCTGAACCATACCTGAATGTCTGTACTCTATTTACAGTGACTCTGACCCTAACCCCGGACCCAGTTTGACTCTGCCTCCAGCCCAATCCCTGGAACTGCTGTTTCCACTGACCAACACCAGATTGCTTACTTAGCCCAGGCTGCTTAAAACCCCTTTGGTTTAGTTGTGGCATTTTGCACTTGTTAAATGCACATTCCAGTTTCCTCTTTATGAACACTTACTGAGAAAATAAAGGTTGTCTCTAAAACTACTTACGTGCTGTTCGGCGTCCAGCATTTGAGTCCTTTCTCTGTTGAGGCGGCCTCGGCCATGACAAGACTGACAGAAGCGAGGCTGCCATATCGCGCCATCGGCCCCTCTGGCCATCACCAGTAGGCGGTAGGGTAAAGTGTCTTGCCCAAGGACACAATGACCAGGGCAGAGAGAGCTGTCCTGGTCGTTGTCCTTCTTTTGGCGGATCATCTGCCTCCATCTCACCCTATCTCTAGTATCCTCACCACCAACCACATCCTCCTCCACATCTTGTCCACGAGAATGGACAAGACTGTTTCTAATCTTGTCCATTCTCGTCACTCTGAATGAAAATCTTAGCACCTTAGCATCTTCAGCTCTGCCTCCAGACAGGGGGTCCTGGACCTCTTGTCGTTTTGTCAGTGCTGTGATGTATGTTTGTCTCCAGACCATACATCACAGCAGATCGCACTACCATCTTGCAGGCCTTCCCATTCTGTCACAAATCACTCCTGACACTCGTCTCCACAATGCCTCTCTTATACACTGTTTTAGATGGTCAACCTTGTGTTTAAACTGATCTACCTTCAACTCCTTGCAGCTTCACTGCTACCCCTGTCTCCCACTAATTCACACACATGTATTCTGTCTTCCTTCTACTGACTGATTCCTCTCCCTCCACCGCTCCAGGGTTTCTAGCTGCTCCCTACTCTGACTACAGATCACAGTGTCGTCTGCAAACATTATAGTCCCAGGAGACTCCTGCCTGACTTCATCTGTCATATTGTCCATTACGGCTCTCAGAGCTGATCCCCCATGTAATCCCACCACCACCTTGACCCAATTTCACCCTACTGCACACCTCACCACCGTCTCTCTTTCCTCATATATATTTGTTTTTAAATATATAAAACAAAAATTGGTAAACTGTAACCAGTCATATTCTATGAACTCTTAAAAAGTGTAAGCAGATAACTGCATAAATTATACGTCATAAAAGTGACATGCTCAGAGTTAACTAGTTTACAAATAGTGTAGTGAACTCTGAAAAATGGTAGGTTTTCCTGGGGTGAATCATTCAGAAATCTCTGGGGCTAACTCCATTTACCTAATGTTTTATAGTTTCAACTGAAAAGTTTGTTTTTTTAAATGAATCAAAAGGCTTAGCTGTGGTTCTGTACAGCAGAATAGGAGGCAGAGTTTTCAGCTATTAGGCTTGCCTGCTTTAAGATTAGGCTTAAAACTTTCCTTTCTGATGAAGCTTATAGTTAGGACTGGATCACGTGACCCTTAATTGGCTGCTCCCTCCTGAACTTGGTTCTGCTGGAGGCCTCTTCCTGTTAAACGTTTGTTCCCACTATTGCCAAGCACTGCTTTCAAAGGGTTTGTGTGATTATTGTATTTTTTCTTTACCCTCCTAAGACCCGAACTCTTCCACAGCATGCATTTTTAATTTCTCTTTGATATTTGGGCTGATTGGGACCCAATGAATGTAAAAACAAAGAATTACCAGATTCTTTTTTTTTTTTACCTAACTTTGTTTCTAAGTAAAATGAGAACCACATATGAGGATATTCGTTTAAAATTTTGATAGAACAGTAGCAGTATAATGTCCTTGTAAGTGGATACCAGGTGCTTGTAGAGCAAAATTGAGTATTTTCGTCTAAATAACCCAAAATGTGATGTCCACATATGTGGACGCCAGGTCCTATGACTGGATCTTTACCTTACAGTATAAAGCTGTTGTTGTGAACTGCTGCTATATAAATAAAGTTGAATTGAACTGAATCTTGGTATTATTGAGACTTGAAAACGAATCTAATACAACATTGCTATGGAAATGGGCACGAAAGTTACATTCATTAGCCCCTGGAGGCTCTTGATCCTTTGTGTTATAAATGTTCTGCCAGAAGACGCCACATTCCCACTTGTGTTTTAAACAGAAAAAGACGAATTCCTTGTTGATGAAAAGGTTAAAGGGCGCATGGGGCTGAAGAGATGACAAGACTTGAAACTGACAGGAAGCCAGAAGAGTAGAAAAGGCCATGGTCAGGTTTTGTGTTGTCAGCAGAAACCAGCTTTAGGCAAAATAGAATAAATATATATATAAAAAACTTTATAAATATGTCCTAAGCTTTAACTTTTGACAGTTTCTCTGTAATTACAAGACCGAAGGAGATCTGTAGCTTTGTGGAGCGCCACATTCCTGAACTGAATCCTCCTACATCTTTTTTTGAGGTGGATCAGTGGACACTGAGCCTCTGTGTTGATCAGCTGGAAGCAGCTGCCTTCTCTTCTCATTAACTGGACTTCTTCCAGAGCTCATTATCTTCAGCAGGTGACACATCTGTTTTCTTAAAATCTCACAGTCCTTTAGAAAACTACGAAATGTTTTTTATTTGACTCGTTAGGAAAATATTCACAACGGTAAGTTTAAGTGAAAGAATTTATGATGAACAATGAACAAGAATTTAATGTGTGTGTGTGTTTTTATTTTGAAAGGTGCCTGGATCTTATCCAGGTGAGTTTCAGCATGAAGTAATTTCCTCTTTGTCCATAGACAAAGAGACATCTCAGAACATTAAAATGATACAGATTTCCTTATATTATAATCACAAATAGTTAAATGAGAATATAATCATTAGAATTAAATGTTTCTAATACCTGAGTCCTAACCTCTTACTGTGATGTGTGTGTGTGCACTTCTGTGCTGTGATTTTTTTGTGCCAATGAAGTGTGTAAACATTGCAAAGCCCAGATCTTGTCCGAAGGAGAAACAGCCTTTAGTGATTTGTCAGAATAACTAAGCAAATATTCAGAGAATGTCTGACTTTAACATGTATGATTTAATAAAAGAAGTAATGAAATGATGAAATGGATAGTCGTGAGATTGAGCTGATGATAAATCCTGTTGAAGTAAAATAGCATAAACTGAATGAGACATGAAGGAAAATATATTCATATTTTATGGAGTTCATGATAGATCATGTTAAAGTACAACATAGAAGATAAGAAAATGTGGTTTTAGTGTTGCTTTGAATCATGTATGCGCAAGGTCAGAGAGAGAGAGAGAAAGAGAAAAGCAAAATGGGATGAGTTAAAATACGATGATAAATGTCATAGTTGTATGATACGGTCATCAAAGTGAGGGAGGAGAGAGAGGAGTTGTTCTTCTCTTTGTCTCCTGTGAGATTAGCAGAACAGAAGATCAGATCTAAGATTTCACAGTTGGGAATTTCGGCAGAGACAGCAGAGGGATCAACTGTGGACTCACAAATTGGGTTTATATTTTTAGGCTTTTTCTCTGCTCATTTTTGATGTTTCAGATTATACATTCAAGATGATTTGATGAATATCAGATGAATATCCTGCATTAAAAACGTCTACCTTGTAAAGGTGAAAACCTGTGTATTATTACACATTATTAACATCCCTCAAAGGGTCTTACAAGTGACTCTAGCCTAAAAAATTAACAGATCCTTTGGGACCAAGTTTAGTTACCAAGTACACAGATTAGGGAAGAGCTGCTGATAACAGGTTTGACTGGCAAGCATGCCTTCAGAGGGAGCAGTTAGAGCTGGGAGAGACTCCTCCCTTTTTCCATCTAAGCTCTTGCATATATTGTATAAACTGTACTGGGAGTAGCTGGTTGAAATTCAAAAGACGGGAAAGCAAAAACGAAAGGTTAAAAAATAAGTAAATGAATAAGGACCAAATGTTACCTGACAATTAAATGTATTTGATTTAATCCAGTAAAACCTAAACCATGAAAAAATTGCCAGAATTTTTTTTTCTTTTAACTGGAAAACTGTGTTCATTGAACTTTCTGACAATTAAAACAATTTATCAATTTTAAAGTTTATCTTAAACAAAAACATATAGTAACGTTAATGTTAAAGCAATAACACTTCTGAGGTGCCAAAAACACTTAGTGTTACAGGGTTAAAGTTAGAGTTTCTAAACTTAGTGTTTAAAATATGAAAATGTTAGATTTGGGTCCCTCTCCCTCATCAGAGATACACAGCTGAAGTTTTTTTCCTTCTGTGACACAAAACACACAATTTTCAACCAACTTTAATTTTTCATAACTGAGCTGAACATATTTCCTCTCACATGACTTTTTTTAATGTGTGTAAACTGAGCCTTGACTTATTAGCTGTTCCCTTTGATGTCTATAGATCTATTAAAGCTCTATAGAAATCATTAAATGATGAATTCAGATTAGTTTTTATTGACCCTGAAATCCTTTAAAAATAGAAATGAAAAAGATTTAATCATGCCGGCAACGCAGCTTGAGACAGTTGACTGGTGACTCACTTTGGTCTCTTTGAAATGTGCTGAAAGTTTTTTTCTGTCTTCATTACTGAATGACAGTGGGCACTGAGTTGTCACAGAAACTCTGCTTTCCAGCGATGGCTGCCAGGTCTGAAGCAGCGGCCCGTGTGTTTTTCAGCTGCAGACTGATCGAGTAGCACGCTGTTAGTGGAGTCATTTTAGCAGGGCCACTCCTGGGGCTCTGATTAGAGGCACTTCGGCTCGTTCTGTACCTCCTGATTACTCCTGCTGCAGTGCCTCCACTGATTTTAGTTTAGGCGCCATCTTCCTGTGTCGTTTTCCATCTTTGTGAAGACTCACAATCAATGTTTGCAGTTACTCTGGCTGCTCTTTTCCACGTGGAGCCCCAATAGTATTGGGCCAATACAGACAGCAGCAGCTTACAACTACAAAACTGAGCCAGTTTCAATGATAGATTTTGAGACCCTGATTGTTAAAAAGGTGCTAACGCACAATTAACAGTGGCTACATTAACATTTTAGGTGCTTATATTTGTCATAAAGAGGAGGGAAATCATAACAAAAGCTTTAAGACCCTAAAAAATTTGATCTATGGAGCTCCTTTTTGGGCGATAAACATCAGCTAAGGTGACTTTAGTCAACAGAAAATAGTGTTTTTATTCATGATTCTGGTTTGTGAGTCTAGCTAGCTGGTTAATAGTTTACTAGAAACTTTTAACAGATGCTGTGAGCTGGGCATCATGGTTAAGTACTGAATAAATACTTTCAATATTACTTCAATAATGCAGTATTACTCTCAGTATGAATTTTTGTTAGCAAATTATAAGCCATGTCTTTCCTTCATTTTTCTTTAACATGTAGAGACCTCCAGAAGAAGCAGGCTCAGGGAGGGACAGGCATCTAATGGGTAGCAGCTGTGGGATGGGTCAGTGATCCAACTTTATCAGACGTTTTGAAGCCTAATCTTCAAACCAGAGAGAGCGTTCGTCTCCTCAACCCAAAACACTCACCTTGTAAAAGATGGAGATGTTGCTGTACGTTGCAAGGACGCTGGTCAGGACTCCGTTACAGAAATCTCCATTTCCAACGTAATCAGGAGGGCACGCACATGAGACATCTGCACACACAAAAATAGTTTTTTACAAACTGTGAGCTGAATATTCAATCAGCTCAATATGTTCACCTTGAGTTAAGCATGTACATGAGCCAATGCTGTGACTCAAGGTTAACACACTCCAGCCCAGGACTCAGAATGACTGTTTTCCGCGGTTGTGCTTTATGCTTTTTACCTCATTATTCGCTGTTTTATGAATCATTGAAGATAGCATGGCTCACAGAGCAACAGCATTAAAGTCCAATGCAAAGTAAACAACACATTAAAGTGGGAGTACAGATCAGGGAGGACCTGCTTCTGTCCACACACACACACACACACACACACACACACACACACACACACACACACACACACACACACACACACACACACCTCTGAGCCTGTAGCAGTAGGCGTCATACTTGCTGCTCTGGTCCATGGGTTCTTTGTACAATACGAGACCCACGTGGTTGTCTCCACACATGACCGAGGGGTAGCGGGTCGGGTATCCCGCCTTCCCCCCGTCCAGCCAGCCAGCCACACACAGATGCATCCCGAGCTGTCAGGGCCAGGGAAAAAAGTCTTGAGATAAAGTTTGATTTACATTTCTGCCTTGAACTAAAACTAAACTAAAATCTCCTGAAGTGACTGGTAATATCTTAAATATCACAAGAAAACTTAAAACTCACATCCTGCGTGTGTTTTTAAGCTTGTGATTAATCTAACGTTCCTCCTGCTGTCTGGGAATCAGTTAAAGGGCACCTTGGCTTGTGGGGTAAAAATCTAGAAAGTTCCCTCCTCCACTTTACCATGATGGAAACTGTCATGAGGTCGAGTGAAAGTGTGAAGGAGGACTTGGACTTGTTGCTGGCATGAGTGTGCTGCGTTAAAACTACAACATCCTGAAGATGAACTACAAAAGGCACATCTTAACACCCCATGTGTCCATACCATGTTATTTCACACAAATGGTAAAAAAAAAAAAAGTATCTTTTCAAAGCTGAAATTAGAAAGAAAAAGGCAAAGGCAGCTTATAAAATGAAATGATACGATGTCACTGTCAGGAAATGTGGGAGTAAAGATCCAAATGCAGAAGTCCAAGACTCCAGCTTAGCAATATTCAGAACAGCAGTTAATAATACCACAAAACCCACAGACAGTCACTCTGGCTTTAGCTGACATGTCAAATTGTCAGCTCGTATTTTCTCTTCCTGCTAGAGAGATGATCATTGTAACTCCAGCGTTTGTTAATGTTTTCTGTGACTGATGCCAAATTATTAATAATCCTAAAGGCTGGAAACACAGCAATGCTTACAATCAACACACAACTAATGCAAGGTTGAAGTATACTGAACCTTTAATTCAGTTTTATCTTTATTTATTCTTAACATTTAAATAAATCACACAAAGCAGCAACTTCATAAGTTGCATAAGGTCCCACAAAGGTACAAAGTTTCTTTTTCCTAGTGTGTCACTTTGAACTGTGCAGCATCATTATCTTCTTCCCATTTGAACCATCTTTCCTGAATATCTGAAGAATTCAACAACTACCATTATGGCAGATACTTCCTGGTCACTTCACTCAGTTAGGGGCCTTTTAAAATAAAACAGATTTTCTGACCACAGCCATGGACAACATCTGCCATCTGATAACGTCTCACAGTTACCATGCACTGCTCACAGTTCAGGTTCTAATACAGCTGAAGTGAAGAAGCTTTTCTATTGGCCGTGCAGGTGATTTTTAGTGTGTCATTTAGTGTTAAAAAACTGTAGTACCTGCAGAGCTCCTGAAAAATGTGGCATGCTACTCAATGAGTTTGAGAGCGCCGAAAAGGACGTGACATTTTTGTTTTCAAGTACTCTTTCACTAACAAAGGTTTGAGTTGGCTGCTTTGCTGCTTTTCTTGAAAACTGTTGAATGCTTCCCCGTCAGCCTAACTGACCGTGAAGGGGGTGTGTCTTTATAATGAAGACAGAATCTGTAGAAAAACCCTGCTGGTGCAGGTTCACAAACTTTTATTTCATTTTCCTTTTTTCTCATAGGTATACCACATATTTGACTCAGGTGTATCGACCTGTTGATATCTTTATGTAAACCCTTTCAGTAGGTAGGTTTACCTGCTGTGCGTATCCCATCTGTTTAACGGTAGCCAACGTGGCGCCCTCAGCCTTGCACTCGGCGTCGGCCTGACTGAAGTTCATCTGGTACCTCCCCTTTGGAGAGCGCAGGTGGAAGACTCCGGCTCTGTTTTCTGAAGCACGACAATCACGTTAACTTCCCTCAGATTTCTGCACCATTCTGTACAACAAATATGAACTCTACGAGTGAAAAACACGATTTGATCCGACGCTGAACAAATCCAAGAGACATTCAACCCCAGATTCAGTAGAAACATCTGCTTTTCTTTTAATATGATGTAATTACTTGGTGTTTAAGTTCTGATGAGTAAAGCACGAATCAATTAAATGTTACATAACCTCGGGGACTTTTTTTTTTTCTACAAAAAACTTGTTTATGTTCCTGTGACAAGAAGTTCAAATGACAGAAATAGCTCATCAACACCTTTACTGCCACTGTGCAAACAGAGTAAAATCTCACCTCACAAGCTTAAACAAATGGTGTCCAGTGTGTGTATTATCTTTTGGACTGCTTAGTCTTTTTCACAAAGTGAACGATACAACAGCTCTAACAACTTCAGCTCCTTGTACCAACAATGATTTCTGCTGTTTCATGACCTGCAGTGCTTTTTTGCTGGCTTTCGTGCAGTTACGGGTGCTTGTGATTGATTTTTTTTGTTCGTGGGAACTGTGACATGAACATAGCCTTGTAACAACTTACAGAGAATGACTACAATGTTCCATTGTTCTGAGTGCCTGATTAGGAGCTGTGTGACGAGCCGAACCAACATTAAAATGTATTGTACTCCAGCAGGTTTGACGTCATTTTTAGTATGAACTGTGTTTCACAAGCATGGCAATGGCTATCATTCTGAACTCAGTACAGCAAGATTTCAAAGTCAGCAACATCCCCCTCATCTGGACTGTAATGTTTTCTTTTGTTTTTTAAATTTGCAATCTATGGATGTGGACAGTGGGGGAAAAATAGATTTTTCAAGGTTTGAGGATTTTTGTTTAGAAAATAGGTCATGATTTCTGGAAAGAGACATGAGGGCAGATTTCTCTACAGCTTATTTCACTACAGACCTGAAAAAATGCATACATTTGATTTTTGGAAGAAAATCCTCTTCTCTGGTTGGGTGGCAGGTGCTTATATCCCACAAACTTCATTAAAAGGGTAACTCTGAACAGATCATTTATGGTGAATTCCTAATTATCTGTATACCCTGATTAATGAAGATCAGGTTGGAAGTAATAACAGCCTTTGAGCCTTTAATGAGCTCCATGTTTAACAAGCCTTAACGAGCTCCAGATCCTAATGAGCTCAACTCAGAGCTGACAGAAAAACAAATAAATAAACAAATGGAAGTCCTCTATAATAAACAATGCTAGCCATAATGTCACCATGGAAACATAGATGCTACAAAGGTCATCTGCTTTAGAATCAGTCTGATTACCATGGAAACTGCAATAGAGTAGGACTGGGAGCCAACATGGCTCCCACTCAGCAGATGTGACACGTGGCTACACTGCAGTTCATGGCTTCACTGCATTCACATGTCTTACCGTGGTAATGCAGGTCCTTGCAGATCGCCACAGGGTCACAGCCTCCATTGTCTTCCAAGCAGCGGTCAACAGGGGGCACCATCTTCTCCAAACACTGGACTCCATTACCTACATACCCCGGCAAGCACTCGCACTCCCGTTCATTCTAGAAGAACCAGATTAGAGTGATCAGCTTACAGGAGGATGTCATGTTATGTTCATATTCAGGGATATTTTTAGAGGGAGACACGTCACTCAAAAAACCATTAATAACAGTAATGGCAAAGATGCTGCTTGTCCCGCCCCAGCTCCAAAAAACCAGTCAGCAGCTTGGGAACAACTGGGAAACCAAACATGATTTTGTGCAACAGTTTCGAACTATTAACTAACTAACTGCTTTTGGGGAAATTTATTTAAATCATATTTGTACTTTATTCAGAGACACATAATCAAACACTTATCAAATCCCATAACCATAAATTTTTATAACACTTTTATCTGACAGAGTCCCAGGTACCACCCAGAAGCTGCTGAATATGCACTTAAAATGACTTTGATTTCAGTGTTCCATGTTTTAAAATCCGATAGCATCTCTTGACTGAAAAATGAATTCATGCATCCATGTTTTTATCCAAGCTGGACAACATTGGGGCATGCTCCTAATGAGGAAATGGATGGTGTGCTGGGGTATCTCCTCCTCTGGACCAGGGCATCACTGAGCTCCTGAAGAGTGTGAGGTGTGGGATGGATTTAACAAATTTTCCCAGGTGTTGTACTGGATTAGTTGTGCTATTTAGGTCAGGTGAGCTTGGGGGGCAATTAATGGTATCAATTTCTTCATCCTCCATGAACTGCCTGTATACTCCTGCCACATGAGGCCAGGCATTGTTGTGTACCTAAGGAGCCCAGGAATCACTCCACCATCGTAGGGTCTGACAATGAGTCCAAGGATTGCATCTCAATATCTAATGGTAGTCAGGGTGCTGTTGCCTGGCTTTCATAGGTCTATGCCTCTCTATTACTGACCCACCACCAAACCAGTCATGGTAGCAAACAAGATGGATGAGCTAACAGTGATAGCTTGGAGTCAAAGGGAACCTCAGGTGTTAAACTTAATTGAATCATGGATGCACCAGGATATTCCCGATGAGAACACATCTGTGGAAGGGTTCCACACCGTTCAGGCCGACAGACAAGCAGAAAGCAGAAAGGAGGGGGTTTGCCTTTTTTTTTTAACAACCGGTGGTGTACTTGCTTACCTACAATCAAAGAGTGGATTTATTGCCCAGACACTGAACTTTATGCTGTTGAACTCAGGTCATATTATTTGCCCAGGGAATCTATCCATGTGAGCTTGTTGGCAGTCCATGTTCCTCCCCCTGCTAACCCCACAGCTCCATGTGCCTTCATTGCTATCTCGGGTGACTTCAACATGTCACCTTAGACGCTACATTGTCAACTTTCACACAGTATGTGGTCTGTCCCACCTGAGGGGAGAGAATTTTAGACCTACTGTTTATAATCAAGCACACATAAGCCCGTTTCATTAATAGCTTCTCAGATCGACTCTGTATGGTTCACCACGGTTTTCATGATTTTCCATTAGGTCATAGTACCTGGTAAGTGTTGGAATTGATATTTTTTATATTGTCATTTGTGCTTAGGAACATATAATCATTTGTATGCTGATAAAAAGCATATCCTTATTAGGTCTGATAAGATTCTGTGTGCACTTGTGTACCATGAGATGAGAGGAAGCAGCCTCGGCGTTATAATTTCCATTATAGCTTTAGGAACTAGATTGTTGTGTTTCTTAAAAGTGCAAAACTTCACACTTTTAAATGTTCGTCTGAGACATGACCTATTGCAAGTTCCTGTTCTTATCATTTAGCAAGGCACTTAGTTCTGCTTTTCTGCATGCCTCATACACACAGTTTTAGTTCATTGAAAGGTCGTATGTCTATGTATAGTATAGCTGTAAACACACACACACACACACGCACCTACACACACCCACAGAATACAGGGAGTGCAGAATTATTAGGCAAGTTGTATTTTTGAGGAATAATTTTATTATTGAACAACAACCATGTTCTCAATGAACCCAAAAAAC